GAGGGGTGGAGAGGGTAAAGGGAGGGCAGGGGGATGGGGAAAAAATAAGAACCAAGATATATTATGTAAAGGTACAAATTCCCATGTCAGCATATTACCCACCTAAAATGTACCGATAAAATTAATGAATTAAAAGAAAAAGTGCAGGTCATAAGAGTAGTTATGAAGAGCTCAGTTGCTTGTCCACCAGGGCCATGCAGCTGGGAAATACAGTGGACCCATAACTTACGAACTTCATTCGTTTCCAAGGGCAGGTTGTAACTCAAGTTGGTTGTAAGTCAATATAGCTGAGAGCTAGATGTTTACCTCAGTACATGCTATAGATATCAAGAGGTAGATGAATCTTTCATGAACCTAATTAACCCAAGTTGTTTGTATGTCAAGCTGGTTGTAACTTGAGGGTCCACTTACTAGAGTTAGACTCCTAGTAAGGCTGTTACTGTCAAGAAGTCATATCTCTTGAATATTTAAAGCAGTTTTTAAACTGAGATGTAATCACAGTAGAATGCATAAATCTTTATCTATATTTTAATGACCTTACACACACATTTGTACTCATACACACTTGTGAAACGACCTAGATCAAGATAGAGAACATTTTTATCACTTCCAAAATTTCCTTTATGTCTTTTCCCAGATATTGCCCTTAACTTTAACCTAACACAGAGTTATTCTTCCAACTTCTGCTACCATGGAGGTATTTTACAAGTGTTGAACATCATATAACCGGAATCATTGTTTGTAGTCTTTTGTTGTTGTTTTTTTCAAACCAGGAATCGAACTCGGGCCCTTGTGCTTGTGAGGCAGGCAGCGGAACCACTGAGCCAAATCCCTGGCTGTAGTCTTTTGAATAAGAATTCTTTTCATCCTCATGTCTGTGAGATTCATTCATATTGAGGTTGATTTAGAAGTAGTTGGTTCTTTTTTGTTTTTAACTGGTATTCTATTGTGTAAATATTTAGTGCTTTATTCTCTTATTGATAGATATTTTTGTTATTGCTGCAGTTTGAGGCAATTGTGAATAAAACTGCAAACTTTCTAGGATGTGCCATTTGGTGGACAAAAGATTAGTGACAGATGAGAGGTACAATGGCTAGGTCACATTTAGTTCTAGTAGATCTTGCCAAATAGTTTTATCAGTTTATTCTCCCACCAGTGATCTGTGTGTCCCAGGTGCTCCACATTCTTGCTACTACTGGATATTGGTGCTCTTTTTAATACTGTTCATTCATGAGAGTATTTGTTTTATCTCACTGTGGTTTTAATTACATTTCCCTAGTGGATAACATTTTGGGTCTTTATGCTTTGTAGCCATTTGAACATACTCTTTTATGCAGTCCCTAGTAAGTCTTTCATTCACTTAGATTGCTCATTTTTTCCCCCTATTTACTTGGAGACATTCCTCACATATTTTGGATGTGAGTTTTGTTGGAGGCACTTATTAGAAATACCTTCTCTCACTCTCATTTTGCTTTTCATTCTTTTGTATTGGTGTGTGTTGTGTAAGGGGGACTGAACCTAGGGCCTTCACACTGAGCTACATCCCCAGCCCCTTTTTATTTATTTTGAGACATGATCTCAGTTGCTGAGTTTTCTAGGCTAGGCTTGAACTTGTGATCCTCCTGCCTCAGCCTCTCAGAGTGTAGAGTGTTGGGATTAAAGGTGTGGACCACTACATCCAGTTTAATATCCTTTGATGAATGCAAGTTCTCATTTCAGCAAAGTTTCACTTACCATTTTTTTTTTTAATGATTAGTGCGTTTTTGTGTTCTTAGGGGGGGAAAAACTCATTGCCTTTCCGTCTCTTGAACATTTCAAGGTAGAAAAAAATGTGGAGAACCACTTCTGTAGAAGATATAAGCACATTGGGTGCTGATGGATTCCTTTTTTTTAATTACTGTATGTTTATGATATAAATTTCATTTTTTGAATTGGCCATTGTTACTCAGAGTGCTAGTCTGAGCTTTCATATATATGAAGGATTTTAGGTCTACAGAGCTCTTTAGCCTTCCATTTCATTTGATCCCATGCAGGGGATCATTGAGGTGTTGCAGGGGTTAGGGTCAGTTCTGACACTAGAGGGCTTGACTGGCCCACATGAGTTCCGGGGACTATGGAAGCGTCATATTTGCTATTGTGCACAAGGGTTAAAATATGGATTTCTTGTGTTCATGTCCTAGCTCTGTCACTTGCTAAGTACAGCAGCTGGTACACAGTATTGGGTTATTACTGTTTTTCTTTTACTACAGTGTCCAACAGGGCTGCAATTTTTTGTATAGCTGGAAAGGACTCTGATCATTGACTCTATTTCGCTTGCAGTGTTTGTTATTTTCCTTCCTCATTCAACACCTGTCCCCTGCCCCATGGTTATTGCTGTGAAAAAAATACATACATTTAAAGTATAAACTAAACCAACAGTAGAAGGTCTGATAATGTGCTGTGTTATAGGGAATTCTTTGGAAATTGAAGGTTTATTTGGTTATGAAGGATTGTGTTTAGTTAAGGGTATAGGGAAGGGAAATATTGAAAAAAGGTTATTGCTTAATTCCAAAATAAAGAATATTCATCTTTTCAACTCAGTTCTGGGAAATTCAAATGGAAGTAAGAGATTTGTGTAATACTGATTTCAATTGTAAGAAAGGACAAGAAACAAATGAGTGTTTTTCGGATGTCTAGAAAGGATGGTACTATATCCAAATATATGTACATGAGGGCTAAGAAGAAATTTTGTGAACCTGGATAGGACTAAAACTAAACATGTTAAATCCACTCTGTGTACCTCCCCCCGCCACACACTCTCCCCTAAAAAGAGAACAAGACCACATGTGGAAAAGAACTTGTATTTTGATATATTTTCTTGAAATAAAAACAGATCCTGTTGACTTTCCCTGTTACTGAGACCGGGGGCCCACCCTTCACACCCTCTGAGTTTTGTCTGAACTTCCTCTTTGTGGCTCTGGGTGGAAATGTCACACAGTGTGCCATAAAGTTGATGTGACATCTGTGAGCATCCAGAGATCTGGGTATTTAGGCACCTCTTGTGCTCAAACTGTTTCTTAGGAGGAAAGGAACTGCAGACGTGTTGGCTCTGTGACCCCAGTGTAGAGAGGAGGGTGTCTTACTTTCCAGAGCAGGGGGACCAAGAAAGAAATGAGAAAGATTAGAGCAGCCAGCCAGGACATGGGCCTCAGATTTAAGCAGGCAACAGGAATATCTGGGGAGTTGGTTAAAATCCAGCCAAGAAATTCAGATTCAGGAGGGTAGAGTTAGGAGTCTCCATTTTAATGGATTTGGAAGCAGGTATAGAGCTGTATGTAAGACCTTGAGTAACAAAAATCCAGGGCCAGAGACTTGAGAGTTCTGCAGTAGGACTGTAGCTTCAAAGCCATCCCTTTCAAAAGTAACATTGTGCTTGGCTTTTTGAAAGGTGGAAGGGGAGAATCAATCTCCCATGATCCCAAGCCCAGGGTAGTTTTATGGAGGCGTGGCTGTCAGCACAGTGTGCCGACACACTGTGTCTGAAACACAGGAATTCAGTCTAGGACTCTCCATAGACTGATGGTGGGAAATGGGCATTTGAGTCTGAGAGTAAGAATTTCTGAAAGTGGAGAGAGCCATTGCAGATTCTTGTGGATAGAGGAGTTATTCCATCTTTGGAGTCTTTGGAGTGTTACGACCTCGGTGCCAAGCGGCCTCCACAGGGTCCCTCCCACCTTCACACACTACGTGTGCACCCCTCATACACTGCTTCACCTGAACCCCCACCTGATGTCCCTTCTATCCCCAGCCCTCTGCTCTTGACATGCTCACATCTTTGAAAACGTTTTCCTTAGGTGTTGTTGAGAGATGATCAATGAGAAGATGCAGATGTGATATTTAAAATAGGTTAAACATAAACAGGCCTTTCCTACAACCAACCAGGAACAGGGATTGTAGATGGGCGGGAATGAACTGGCTTGTGTAGTGCTAGTGTTGTTCAGCAACCTTGGCAGGTCTTGTGGACTTCATGGCGATCACTCTCCCTTGGTAGATCTCTTCCTACCTTTTAGGCTTTAAAAAACTTGAACTATGACAGTTAAAATCAACAATTCTTAACTTTTTAAGGGTTGCAGTCCTCTTTGAGAATATGATGGACAGTTTGAATTGTTCTATCAGAAAACCACACATGTATTTGAAGAGGAAGTGGTTTATGAACAATCTGGGATCCATATGTGAACCCTAAATAAAGAACTCCACTTTAATTGGCATGTGACCTTCTCCTGAGGTCCTTTTTATGGCTTGGCCTTTTTTTCTTGTGAAGTAAAATTTGTAATGGGAACTCCACAAATACCACTTGCTATTATGTGTTTGCTTTCTGGAGGGTTTATGTTCAGTTATAAAACGCAGGTAGCTTTCGGTTAGAATGAAAAGACCGAGTATCCATAAAGTGCTTACCCCCTAATATGGTAGGTATTCGTTTAAAAAATAAAACTACATATGCTCAATATAATCATAATCACAAAGCTGATGAACTCTATAAAACTTCATCCTGTTACAGTTTAGAAGCAATGAACTAGATATTAGGAACCCAGAGGCCTCTAGCATCACTGTTTCTTTTTTCTTGAGTCCAGTAACTCAATCCACCACAATAATATTTATTACATTCCTCTAGTGAGTAGAGCACTCTGTTAAGTATTCTAGAGAACAGAGATAAATGAGATTTCAAGGAATGAACAACATTCTAAAGGAGTCACATTACTCATCTGTGTTCCTTACCTGTGTCTCCTGTGTTTCTTCTTGCCTCTACGGGAGCTTCACTTAGTCAGTGGGATTTGGGGACGTACCTTTGATTTCTGAAACAGGAAGCTTGCCTTAGAAAAGCCAAGTAATGCGTCTTTCTTCGTGTCATTGACTTCAGTGACCTCTCGCACTGTTGATTGGGTATTTCTTCACGGTTTACCTTTGTCAGTCTCTCTCCCTGTGGCACTAGGTTCACATCCATGTCCTTCCTTTCTCCACAGGCCAGGGGTTATCACTATGCAGGCCTTGTCAGAAGAGGACCGGAGGCTCTGGATGGAAGCCATGGATGGCCGGGAACCTGTAAGTAACAATTCAGGGAAGTAGAGCAAGAATAAAAATCCTGAGCTGTTTGTTGATTCCCTAGTGCAATATATTTTGCTTCTGCTCTAAAGCCTTAGTCTTTGGAAGCAGAACCAGAGGTATTTTTCTATTCCTAGGTTGATCTTTGTGGTTATTGCTATAGTTCCTGTATGTATGTAGTTCCTGAACTTTTACCTCTCAGTCCTAAGGCAGAAGTTCTGTGTGATACACCAAGCTTGCCATTTGAAAAGGCAATGTAATGTCCCTAGGTTTCTTAAAGGAGGCAAAATCCAGTCTAGCTTACTGAGAGTTGTTTATTGGCCATATGGTGCCTTCATATAGTAGGGTATAGAGTGTTATTTCAAGCCCATTTTAATGGGATAAAGAATTGTAAAGCATATTAGGTTGTGTAACAACTCTTATTATTGCCTTCTGGTTCAGTCTCCTCTTTCCATGGTGACTTATATCTCATTATAAGAAGTAGGACATTGTCAAGGTCAATGGAAGGAGTTAAGCCTGGTGATACGATCTGTGTTCCCATTTCAGAGTTGCTGGCCTCAGCTGAGTGATGTAACCTTGTGGTTTTTCTGCATCTTGTGACATGTAAAACCCATGTGAGAGCCCTGGGGAAAGTCCCAGAACAGTCTTATCTTTGTGTTTAGGATCTCGAGCCCAGTGCTCAACAAATCTCAAGGTTACAAAAATTCTAAGAGTACTTTACAATCTAGAGGTGTCACCAATACAAAATAGAAAGAATTCAGAGGGCTGGGAGGCCAATAATTGATGCTAACCAAAGCACTATCAAATTGGGGATGTATACACCGAGGAGAAGCAGGCTCTGGCTTCCACTAACTGTAGGTCTCTGTACATCCAGTGTAGACGATCTGGGTTTGTGTGTGCACCTCTTTCTCAGCCCACTGTGGTGAGGTGATGTAGCCACACAGATCAATGTACTTTTCGCCTAAGCTACATTCTACATAAATGAAGGACTTGATTCAATCTACTAAGCATAGACAAATAAGTACTGTTCGCACAACATTTAATATAGAGCAAGTTTTAGAGAATTATTCAGACTTAAATATAGTTGGCTAAACTGTAATGAATTGTTGTTTAACCTTAATTCTTCTGGACTAAAATGTAAGACATCCCGATCTTCTGTATGTTGTGAGTATTCTGTGATGTTCTCAGAAGCAGGTACACATTTCTTCTTTTAGTGCTTTGGAGGCACATTTGCCACTTGGTACTACGGTCCTTCGAAAGCAGCTTCTGGAAAGCCTTCTGCTCTGCTGGCATTGTCTACTGTTAGTTTGAGCATGCACATGCATACGTGCGTGTGCATGTTTGTGAGCATGTGCTTGTGCATGCATGCGTGTGCGTACGTGTGTGTGTGCGTTGAAACTGAGGTTTAGAGAGGTTAAACTTCTTGCCCCAAGTTGCATAAATAGTAAGTGGCTGAGTAGTAGGAACAAGCTAGGTTGCTATATAACAAAGAAACTCTATAGTAACTTAAGAAAGATAGAATTGTTGTCTCTGGGCAGAATGAGCCATGCCTGGCAGGTTTGTGCTGGCATCCTCAACCCCAGACTTCCACGGTTGCTGTAGGTACTGCCCTGGTACTGGCTCAAATAATTATGTGGCCATATCTGTCTGCAGAGGAGAATGGGAAATCTAGGTGGCCCTTGGGCAGCATGGGCCCTGCCAGTACCCAGCACACTTCAAGGAAGAAAGAGAAGGTGCTGTAGATAGATGGTTGGCAGTCTTCGCTATTGTGGCACAGGTAGAATTTGAGCTCTGCCCCTAGATGTATTTGTTATTCACCTTTAGCAGAAATACATCATCAACTTGACATTTAAGAATTCTTACTCCATTATTTTTATATACTTCCTCTGACTCTTTAGAATGATCTTTCAAACCCATAAGGGAGGAAATACCCAGTATGAAAAACCTCGTCATGACATTCTTTTCTTGGTGTGGGTCAAAAAGTCCCATTACCATTTCCTCCAAATCTGCTTGAGCTAAAACTGCTTCATCAACCCCATTTGGAGCTTCCTCCTCCACCCCTCAGTACCACTTGATGTTAGTTCTCTGTGTCTGACTGGGCTCTCACTAACCACTTCAGTTTTCCCGTGCATTAACATCTGGCCTCTGCAGATGGAAAGTGCGCTATTGAAAAAACTCTCCTCGCTCTGGACTGTACATATTAAGACAGGTTTAAACACAAAACAGTTCTGTGTCTAACCAGGTTATAAAATGATTTCCTCAGAGGAATATACAGCTTGCATTGAAAGCCATACTGCCGAGTGGTTTTTAGTTTCTTAAAGATACAGATAAACACAACTAAATGATGACTGCGTAATTGGTGGTAACACTTGGTGTAATTTTTCTCTCTCATTGTTGACAGCCGCTAGGGAACATTGCTAGAGATCTATGCCCAGTAAACAGTTAGCAATGCCACTGTTAATCACTGTCTTCCTAATTAGTCAGATCTGTTCCCTTGGGAGTTTTGGCTTGCTTTATTTAGTTCTTTCTCTAGCCAGTCTTAGAGCAGTTTTCTTATTTCAGGGAGATGTTAATGGGTGCCCCTCCTTTCTATTTTTTATACTTTTATCTCAGTTGTCCCGTGACAAATTATTGATTATTTAAAAATCAATTTTGGTTTTCATTCTTTTTGCTTTTTCCTTGTTCTGTGACACCTGTGGATGGTTGTTTAAGGGAAACAAAACCCTAAACGATCTCCAAATCATTTTACTTAACTGTTACGTAAATCATTTTTTTTTAGCACACAGTCACATTCTAGTCTAAAGAAATATTGAATGCCTTATATGATATGATAGACATATGAGAGGAAGATATTAGAATCATACTGTTACATTGACCATTATGGGTTTTGGTTATGTAGTAAATCTGAGTTATTTTTGTTGAAATGAAGGAAATCCAGTTCAAACTTAAGAAAAAGCAGGGTTTATTGGGTTACGTAACTGAAAAATTCTAGGGTATAATAGTTTTTGGCCAGTCTGAATCTGGTAACTTACATAATAGTTGGAGTTGGTTTCTTCTTTTGTGCTGGCTTCACTTTCCAATGTGTTCTTTCCATGTAGTGGTGAGATGCTTCCTAACTCTTCCAGGCTTACATCTTGTTATTAAGAACTGGGGTCAACAAACTTTTTCTGAAATTGGCTGGATAGTATTCTAGTCCTTGTGGCCATATGGTGGCTGGTATAGCTATTTAACTTTGTGGTGGCAGCTCAGAAGCCATGAACAAATGAATATGGCTGTTTTTCAATAAAACTTTACTTATAAAAACAGATGGCAGGGGTGGGGGATTTAACTCAGTGGTGCTGCTGCCTGCCTTGCAGGTACAGGGACCTGAGTTTGATCCCCAGAACCAAAAAATAAAACAAAAAACCAAAACAGATGGCAGGCCGGTTTTGCGTCATAGGCTATTGTTTGTTGATTCCTACTTTAAGTGCAGTAGAAAGAGAGCTTTTGCAGAATAATTCCAAAGAAGTTCTGTATTTGAATCTTATTGAACTAAATACTTGGCCCAGAGAATGGGAAACAGATGCCCTTGTGTTCTCCATTGGGAAGACTGACTTTCTCTGAGATAAAAAGCATTGTTAGCTGGACGTGGTGGTGCACGCCTGTAATCCCAGCACTTAGGAGGCTGAGGCAGGAGGATTGCTGTGAGTTCGAGACCAGCCTGGGCTACATAGTGCGTTCTAGGTCAGTCTCAACTACATAGTAAGATGCTGTCTAAAAAAAAAGCATAGTTTCTTCTTTCTCTAAGACCTATATTACATTAATTTTTGTGTTCAGAGAGCTTTTTCTTTGATATTTAGCCAAGAGTGAAAATCACATGTTTACTGCAAACATGATACTTAGCATGAAAGACTATAAATGCTTTTTCCCTAAGACTGGGGACAAGCAAGGGGCTTTCAGACTTACCACTCTTTTTCAGTATGGTACTGGAAGTCCTAGCTCGTATTGTAGTCCAAGAAAATAGTTTAAATACGTACTGATTGGAAAGAAATAAAACTGCCTTATTCACAAGATTGTCTATGTAGAAAATTCTGAGGAGGCGGGGATTTAGCTCAGTGGTTCCACTGCCTGCCTCGCAAATGCAAGGATGGATCTGAGTTTGATGCCCAGTACCAAAAAAGAGAAGGAAAAAAAAAAAAAAGAAAGAAAATTGTGAGGAGCCCCCCCCAGATAAAAATCCTCTTGGAATTAGCAGAGGAGGTCATCATGGTAACAGGATATGATGCTCACCCCCATCAGTCACATTTCTGTAACTTCACCATAAACGCATGGTTAACAAAGTTGAAAACATAACACTGTTTATAGTCACTAATCCCCAAAATGAAACGCTTAGGGTATAAATTAATTATATGCTGAAAATTACAGCTTGCTAGTGAAAGATCTAAATAGACGTATTTTATTCATGAATTGGAAGAATCTGTGAGTTGTAAAGATGTCGGTTTTCTCCAAATTATTTGTAGGTTTAATGCAATTCCTATCAAATTCTCAGCAAGATTTTTTGTAGACATAGACAAGCGTATTCTAAAATTTTTATATAAAGGTACAGAAGCTAGAATAACAAAAACACTTTTGAAAAAAAGAATGAAGTGATAGTAATCATTCTGTCCTATTTTGAGGCTTCCTTTGTAGCTACAGTAATCAAGACTCTGGTGTTGACAGAAGGACAGATGTATAGATCAATGGAATAGAATAAGGAGCCTGAAACAGACTCACACAGATATGCCCAATTGATTTTAGGCAGAGAGCAAAAGCAAATCAGTGAAGGAAAGTGTTTTTTGAACAAATGGTACTTTTAAAAATAATGGATCTTCATAACTGCTCCCCCCAAGAACCTTGACTGAAGCTCATATCATAAAAATTAATTGAAAATGTGTCATAGCTTTAAGTGTAAACTATGAAGCTATGTTTCAGAAAAACATACAAGAGAAAATTGTCGGGCTGTGGGGCTGTGTGAAGAATTT